AAACACTCAAAGCCGAACTCTTCTAAAAATATCCAGCTTTTAGCGGTTAATCAAAAGTGTCTCGATTGGAGAGTTGGCTGAAAATAATAGTGTGTTTATTATCATGCGTTTTGCGTCAGACAAGCTGGCTGCCCCGACGAACGACGACGTGCGAACCCGGTTTACGATACTCACACTTCTGACTTACTAATAGTGTATTTTTAAAAGTATTCCGGTTGTTCTTTGCTGGATATTCGTATTGAAAATAAATTGATTACTTGCTATAATTATATGAAATTTTCATGACACCAACCATATTTTGCTGATAGTAAGATAGCGTGAGACTAACTTTGACAGAAGTGAGCCCTTTAAAAAAACATTTTAACTTTGACAATCCCGCTTGAAAAGAATTCTCGAAGTGTGTAATAAACTTTCCGAAGTACGACTGGTTTGATTGAAACTGTCGGCCTGGCCTGGAACTCAAAATCTCCTGAAAATTAGAGATAAAAGCTAGTCTTGTTTCAAATACAGTAAAAATTGCGACATCTACTGTCAGAATACTAAAAATATATTTTATCTACTCAACACTAGGTGGCATTTAAGGAACTCGTTTCACAGGACATGAATTGCCATCTATATTATGGTAACGTAAACTTAAATTTGCTATCCGTCAAAAGATGTCACTATTATGCTTCAAGTTCAACAAAACCCAAAAACACTACGCTTGTTTTTCTCTGAAGCAGTAAATAAAGCCTCTATTCAACAGTTATACTATTGGCTGTTAGATGGGGTAATGTCAACGATCGCAACGCTGATGTGGCCTAAAGTAAAAACAATTTTGGCGCTGTTATGTGCCATAATAATATATCAAAGTACGCAGACAAAAATGGGTCACAGCAGTTGTATTGTAAATTATTGCAAGAATTCTGGCAGAAACAGTAAATGTACGTTTTATCGATTCCCAACAGCTACTTGGAAAATAGAACAACGCGAGAAATGGATAACAGTAACATAACTTTGTTTAAATCTTGTATTTCATAACATAACATCACGCGTTTTTATCCCCGAAGGGATAGGCAGAGGTGCAGATTACGGCATAAGAGGGGGTGAGCCTATTGCCTTATACCGGGTACATTTCCAGACTCCTTGCTACTACTCAGATTAAAAAAAAACCCAGTAATACAATTTCAAAATTCAGTAATGCAGGAAATACATTGACATGTAATAGATATATTTATAAACAAGTATGTGATGCTGAAATAAAAACACAAATAGACAATTCACCTATTTATATTAAAAATTACAAAGAAATGAAGGACAAAGTATGTAATACCTGTCGAAAAACATATGCAGATATGGCAACTTCAACAGAAACAATTGATTTTACTGGATATTCATCAATCCGTAATGATTCGCTGGTGTAACATTCAACATTTCTCCATTATTATTAAAAACGTAACTACTCATAAATACAGTTTTCTAAAGAAGATTGACTTCTCATAGAAAATATAGCAGCTGATTTTGTTTCTTAGCCAAATAAAGGTAGTGTACAAGCCACAATGCAAAACTATCCATTAAACATCAAAACATCAGAGCCGACAAAGTTGTGGATAGATGGCGCTGAACTTGTGCTGAGAGCTTAAACATGTGTTAGAAAACAGAAAGGAAGTAATAAAAAAATCAATAGGTAACAACTAAATAAAACAGCGTATCTTTGTAAAATGTTTATTTCCATAAATGACAGACTAAAACAACATTTCTCAGCGATTACAATTCACTCTAAACTTTGCATCTATCTAATGATATTGGCGATATTTATAAAGCTGTTAGTTACTACATCACTATTAGAACATAATCACCTACAATAATGCTAAGCAGCTGTTTATACGTACAGATTAGTTATGGCGATAGAAGCCGACAACAAACGGTTATTTTTTAATATTTTTACCTATTTTTATAAGCTTGTCGTCGACTCGAGTTAAATTATCACAAAAAAGTTTGACTAAGTAAATGTAGTAATAGATAAAATTCTTCATAGGTGTTGTAACAAAGCCGTGTCAAGTCTATAAACAAGTCTTCTTCAATAATAAGCAATCAAATATATATTAATTGAATATTATACGATTAATTTTATAATAATAATAATTAAAATAGAGATCAAAGTAATTCTGTACAATAAGACGTGAATGAGGCAACTTTATGATATATAATTTAATGTTGGAACGGTATTATGGCATGGAGGTTCAACATGTCATTTTACAAGGAATTTGTAGAGACTATACTTAAACCCGACTTCAGATTGAGTGGTGTTTCAGTATTTGGACATCAGACTACTAACACATGTTCACTAAAAACCTCGAAATTAACCTTCATGTACCAGGCCATGTACTTACCAGCCAGAAATTGCCAAAAATAGTATGCACAAATAGGTCACACTTTAACTATTCTAAACAGAGAATTTGTTAGAGAGTTTTGATCCTTCAAATCGTCCATAGATCAGACAAATTAACAAACAAATATTCATATTTACATTTCAAAACACCCTATTCACAAAATGCAACGTCAAAGAAACACAAAAACTTGTATATCAATCATAAGTTTAGATCACAAGCAACAACACTTTACATACAAATACAGCAAAATATCAACAAAAATACATATAAGTGACATCAAAACATTATTGTCAATCAAATGATATTTATGTTGGTAATATCTTTGAAAAGCCTTAAGAGCTAGCATTAAAATTATGAGTAAATAATACATTTTTCATAAGATACAGGTACGGATTAGGAAAATAACATATTATAAGGGGGAATGTATAGGAGATAATTCAGTATATTCCCCCACTTTTGTTAGTACATAGACATATCATAGCCAGGGAGCATGTATTGAAACAATTTTGACATGAATGAAAATTCCGACAATCCTAACATCCACTTCGTCCGAAATTTTATTCATATCATAAAGCAGTGTAATTATCCCGTTTTATTACACTATCGCATTTCAAATAAACATTTATTTACAGACAACTTTAAACAACAATATGACTATGATGTAATAAGAATGTGTTTAATACTTTGAAGGCCTGCCTTCAATTTAATGAAAATAAATACAATAAAAACATTTCAAAGTCACAAATTCCCTTTTTAACATTGATTGCAAATAGTCAGACGCTAGGCATAATTTAGCTAGTCTACTAACAGCCGTCAGAAAATAATATCAACTGGATTACAATATACAGCGAAAAGCATTAATTTTTCTCAACATTTATACAATTACTCTATGGCAGTTACGTGTCATCGTGATACAGAATTTGTATACTTATGTCCCAAATACAAGGTTGAAAATTAGTCAATCAGTTTCATCTAATATATTGACAAATCAAGATTAACGAAGAATATTATTATAGGAGAATATTCCGGCATTTATTATATAGTTCAAAAATAAATTTAGGCGTACATGTTAATTTCCTATAAGCGAAAACCTTACACAGAATTTTATAATAGTTTTTATATGTTTCAGTAAAATACACCATCTTCTTTCACTTATAGGTAATCGTTAAATATTACACTTTTATTTTAATTTCTAACACGTCAAATAGTCTATGATATCAAATAATAATTTAAAACAAATAATTATCCATTATTATTAATATTTAAATTAAATTAAATCTTCATAAGAATTCAATAAAATGACAACCGAAATTGAATAATATTCACTCTAATCACTTCATTAGGTCCCTCAAATGCTTCTTAAAACCACACCGTACATGTTTATCACAGCATTCAACATGTGTAAACAAGAAAAGCATATAAAGCTTCTCCTTTTTCAAGTCGGTTAAAATGGATTTGAGATTCCGGCGCATGCCATAAGTTGCTTCAAAATTAGTGATGATATTTCAATAGAATTAGATAAATATTGTAATATGTTTTAACAAAAAATAATATGTAAAACAACGGTGCAATTTATATGTATTATAACTTTCGTGAGACTATACTAAATTAATTATTATGTTTTTGGCTTACTGTCGCGCTGCTGCTGAAGCCGCTAGCCGCCGCGTCGCGGATGGTAGAATGCTGCTCATGAATATGAGCCTTTAGCATGGTTTGAAACTAGTAGAATTCCTCGTCAAACAGTTACGTGAGTAGGCCGAAAACATAATAAATAATTTAATTTAAATAATGTCAGTTGTGGAAACAAAATTAAAAAGATTTTGTTATATTACAATTTAAAGTTAGGCCTAGAAAGAGCCTCCAATGTATTTAGATGTGAACTACTATTTACTTGGGCAAATGTATTTGCTTAATTCTGTAAATCATTACTTTCTTGCACTATTTGTATCAGTACTTAAAATCAGCCATTTAAATCTTTTTTCTTGTCAACTGATAACTATTCAATAATTTACTGACGATTCTTGTATTGCTTTCCTTCTGATATGTCGCATTAAAATATGAAGAGTAACATAATAAGTGAAATACTGAAAGATGTCAATAATAAATACGATGCCTAAATACCACTTAACCTAAACCGGAAGGCACTCAATATAGCGTGAGCATTAAAGCGCAAAAAATCATTAGAATTTAACAATAATACAATTAATATCATACTATAATTGGGGCATACTATAAATATCAAAATGTCAAGTCATGTCAAATGGGTGATAATGTCTTTAAGAGATTCATACACAATACATTTAATATAGTGGAATGGTAGTGCGAATAGTGTCATTGTAGAGTACACACTGGTAGGTAATACATCTAGAATACTATCCGATCGGTAAACAATAACGTGCTCGATTATATTACATTATGACTAGTTACTGTTATGTGCATATTCACACGCCGCGCGATGTATAAATCGTTGCATGTGGGCTACTTATATAAACCTGCTGCGAACTGTACACCTGTAGCTCAGCGTGTCATACAACAAACGTTTCCTTTAATACAACCTCTCACACCGAAATAATACGAAACATAGTATAATGATAATGTCGTACTAACCGGAGTTTGTGAGCGTTAGTGTCAACCCATCGAGAGGTTTTTGACGATGGTGACGTCATGGCTTCGTCGGTTGATTTCTTTGGCCTCTTTCGAGAGGTTAGACTCGACGAGTAGGGAGTGCCGTTTGGATGCGTTAAGGTCTTTCTTCCTCCGGACGACGTCTGGGCTGTAAGGTTCTGAGACGCGGCGGTCGAGGTTCCCGTGGCTGTGAGACTGTCCGGTTGAGAAGGAGCCTTGCCTGTGCAGTGGTGTCGCGGGCTGTTCTGTAGTGTTCGGGAGATAAGTCTGGAACGATGGTCGAGTTTGCGCCGCTTCCATGATGGAATCTATAAAAGAAATGTAATACATTTAATAAAAGACTTTAATCTGTGATGTTTTAGCTTACCTTCCTACTTTGTCTACAAGAAAATAGCGCAATGACAATCCTGGCAAACCATAGAATAATAAGAGATAAGAAACACATGTCGGAATACTGAAACGCTACTCAATTTTAAGTCGTGCTTAAGTATAGTTCTATCTCTACAAATTCTTTGTAAAATGACAGAGATGGCACGATATTTGAGCACGACTTAAAATTGAGTAACGTTTCAGTATTCCGGCAACAGGAGGTTAATTTAACTACAAACATAGAGCATAAAAGAATGTTAAACACCAGAAGTAACCATTTCTACTGAGCTCATTCCTTACAGTATATTAAAAAGTTAAATAGCCTAATGAAGATACCCATGCACCCATATAAAACCATAGACACAACAGAAAAAGTTCTAAAAAATATATCATTGCCTTAGAAACTTTTAACTGTAATTGACTTTGATTATAATAATCACATCTATAATGTCTAGCTCTTCAATGACTACAAGATATAACAAAAAGCATTGAGGACAAGCACATTTAATATTATAGAGAACGCAATCACCTCCACTCTGCTAACTTGATATGCCTGGTTAATGACCTACAATGGAGCAAAACAGACAACAATTTAACATATCCTTGGACATTTCATTTCAGAGACGTTCATGTAAAAATATTTATGATAATATATAAAAAATAGCGATTCCTCTTTAACATCTCTTCAACGAAATAGCCCAATAAAGCAAACTCATGTGACAGTGTGTAAATAATGTGCAACAGAAACATGACAAACGAACGTAGAAAATAAAAAAGTATAATGATAAAGTAAGAAGCTTCGAATTAGATTAGATGGCTCTATTTTGTCTTAGTTCTAAAGCGCATTTGAAGAGAAAATGTAACAATGTGTAGCGCAACTATTAAGTAACAAAAGGTAGTTTGCGCAAACAGCGCAAAAAGAGATCTCTTGTGAGGGCGCAGATACAAAATTTGCTAATAAATAAAGATCTGTATGTGTAATAAAACATGTGTGTAAGTATTAGTTTAAAATGATGTATGATGACTTACTGAGTGTGCGCACTAGCCAGGGCGCGACTGTTTGCTTCTGGTTGACGGCTGACTGCACTTCGTTCAGAGCGACCGTCAGTTGGTGGCTTAGTTCCTAAAATACAAAAAGAGCAGTTTAAAGAAGATTTCCATTACTCATGAAAGTTATATCGTATGAACTAGATGAATGGTGACAAAGATATATGGATGACTAGCTTAATTTTCGTAACACTTTCTTAAAAGGAATGTAATGTTAGACCGTCACCAAATGGATATCCGGAGGTCCGCATATTATCTAACATACAATTTTCCCCAAAAGCCATTTAAAAGTAACCCTGACTTCTAGCCTCCTAGAGAGACTCAGAGTCGCTCAGCGCGCGATGAGCTATGCTCGGGGTTTCTTTGCGCGACAAAATCCGAAATGTAGCCGCCAAAGAACTAGAGTTACCGACATAGCTCACCAGGCTGAAGTGGCAATGGGCAGGCCACATGTGTAGACCACGGACGGGAAGACGAAGCGTGGTCAGCCCTCCCGCTAAGTGGACCGCCGACATCGTCGGAGTCGCGGGGAACCAACCGATGCGGGTGGTGAGCTGTCGTTCGACGTGGATGATGATGGTGATGATAATGATGGATGGTGATTTAATGGTAAATGTGTGACAAATGTAAAAGTGATTGGGTTAAGCGCACGTAAGAAAAGTTATACTTACTTGATTACTGCACTGTGCCTGCACATGTGCGAGTTTCACTTGCGCTAGTTCCAGTTCAAGGTCGCGGACACGTTGCCTCAGTCGAGCCTCTGTCTCGCTTGAACCTTCATTGTCATCGCCTTTTTGTTCTTCTGTAAGAAATGTTACTTTTAGCATACATATCAAAACTCTTCCGTTTGTATGTGAGACACCTGAAATTACTGAACCTAGGAAGCTGAAATTTAGCATGTATGTTGCTTGGGAATTGTGAGGGAGCACTAGAGAAAAATTTCCTAAATTCTCACGGGAATAGTACCCATTTCGGAGCTGGCCAATTAGCGTGGAATAAGGTTAAAAAGAAGACAAGTAAGATTACTGAAATAAATTAAGTTTTAAATTATTATTACCTTCCTTATTATCCTTTTGCGCAAGTTTCACGCTGCAACTGACACAGTCCTTAATGTAGTCCTGCAAAGGAAAATAGGATCAATTCGTTTATAGATTAAGTACAAAATCGTATTCACGTTGAGATATTTTGCAGTTGTTTACTGACCTGCATAGTATGTAACTGTTTGTCGAGTCTGGCGCATATCTCGCGGTAATCCCGCGCTACCGCTGAGAAATGCGCTGCTTCCTTCTGACTTTCTTCTGAAGTTGTGCGGGCCTATAAATTCGTAAACCATTAATTAAAACCTTACTAACTCTTGACAAATTCATATTTTATATCTGAATTTGTTATATAGTTATATCAAAAATAAATTATTTCGATTGTTCAATACAATAAAATATATCAAAATAATCACACTTTCATTAATTGATTTTATGACCAACTTAATTCTAGTATTGTTCCAGCAAACTTTTAAGAAATAAGTATGCTGTTTGACGCTAGAAAAACGTGACGTCACAATAAACAATCTCGTACAAAATTCATAGAAATCTGTCGTTTTTGACAGTTCGAAAAAAGTATTGAATTTGACTAGTTGGCAAGTAATCAATTATTAAGAGACATTTCTTACGTGCTTACCTCCGTCAACTGCGCTTCTAATAACTCTTTTTCCTGTAGTAACTGCGTGTTGATGACCTTTAATCTCTCGAGTTCAACGTTTATTTTCTCTTTTTCCGCAGATTCTAAAAACAAAAATAAATAATTTTAGTTTTATAACTACAATTTTTTTCCTAACATTAATGTCCAAACACTACAAATTCTTTGTAAAATGACTGAGATGGCAGGATGTTTAAGTATAACTTATAATCGGGTATCTTTTAGTATCGGGCGTCAACTATGTCAAATAAGAATTCACATGATACTAACCTTTAATGAATTTCTCGTACTCCTGTTGGTATTTGGGCAACCGTTTAACTTTAATACTGCACGCAAGTTTCACAATTTGGCGAGACGATTCTTCCGCCCGACATTTCTTTGGCAATGTTACTCTGTAAAACATAGAATAAAAATAATGACAATATCAATTTCATATTTGCATGCCCACCGGGTAGAACAAAGAGATACACAGTGGCGTGCACACCATACATGCAAATAAGCACTGCATACCCTACAAAATCATGGTAAACCTACATAGTCAAATACATAGTGTCACTCATAAACACGACATGAATATTTACTGATATCATACAGAGATTTCGTAATTTTATTGATACTTAATTTGGAAAACCGGTAACTAACGCATCTATTGAAAAAATATTGAAGTACTACAACCACTTTCTACTTTCTTCGATATTGGAGCATTGCGCCAGTGGCGCCGCCACCTCGCTATTGTGTGATGGTGGCGGAAGCATGTACTAATGCGTAGCCGGTACATTTTGCTTGTTTTTCTCGGCTGATGTTGGATTTTTTTTGTTAGGTTGGTAAATTTCTATACAACTGCAAAAGCACTGCTTCTTCGTTATCCGACTAATTTAGGAAGTCAACAAATCGTAGCGTTTGTTGATTGAAAATAGATATATTAATTTTGGTCAACTTATTGTTTACGTTTTTTTGGCCATTTTGTTTTGGTTATGTTTTTATGTGCAAGTGAATAAATTGTAATGTAATTAATTATAATTTAAATGAACTGTTAATTTATAGAAAATTATGTAAAATTATAGCTGTGAGCTCTGTGCTGGTGTTGTTCAATAAATTCAATATGAGTGCGTTGTCCTTATTGTCGTTCGAAGAAGAAACGAAAATATTTCCAAAGGCGATTTTGCGTGTGTCGTATGTCCGGGCTAGGCGTAACTCTAAAAAGGTAATAATTTTATTATTTCTTTTAATAAACTACGATTTGCGATTATAGGTATAGTTTGTTAGCACTGGTGGTGTACCAATTTCATTATTGTTTTTAAAATCCAGTCATCTTGATCTCGTTTTGTACGATTTTTCAATGCATTTAACGGTCAGTTTATACTGGCTTGATGGTCGCGTAACCATTTGTACTTCGCCGCTCCAAAGTAGGTACCTAGTTAGTAGATTTATAATATAGATACCTAGGTATCTATGTTGATCAACTTTATACACGGATAGTTTGAAAATAATTATGTACCTAATTTGTTTATACAAATTAATAAAATACTTACTAAACCTAATTACCTACTCAAAATTATGATGTTTCGGGAGTTTTATTTTCCGAGATTAATGTACCTAGACCAAATTTTTTTAATCACGTGATACCTTCTGCCTACCCTACTTCAAATTTCTGTGCACGCCTCTGGAGATACAATATGTAACAAAAATAAATAACACCTTAGTCACTAATTATGTACTACACACCTCTGTTCAGCAAATAAAGACATTTGATTTGATTTGATTTTGATTATCTAATTACTCGACTGATTATTGAAAATAAACCCAAAGGAATCAAATGAAGAATACAAAGCTCCATAGGAATTTAAATATTATCGTACCATGCAAACTTCTTTCTAAACACCATTGGCTTTTCATTATCTTTAGGCTATAACATTATGATATTAGAATAGCAACGTACCTAAAGTACTTGAGTACCCCTTCGAAGTCGTGCTGCAGCAGGTCCTTGCGCGAGCGGGACAGTAGCGCCAGCGCCACTTGGAACAGGGTGTCGATGCCTTGCAGTAGAAACACGTCGAGGATGTGATACACCTGCGAATATAAAGTACATATTATTATTTCTTTAATACTTAACTAGCGACCCGCCCCGGCTTCGCACGGGTGCAATATGCGGGTGCAAAATCACGCTATCTATTAAAAAACCGCATCAAAATCCGTTGCGTAGTTTTAAAGATCTAAGCATACATAGGGACAGACAGACGGCGGATAGCGACTTTGTTTTATACTATGTAGTGAAGTAATATGATATGAGGTTAAGTATCTTTTGTACGACAATGCGACATGACATCTCTCTATTAGAATCTACATTTTGGAATGAGCACCTAGCTTCACTGACTGACTGAATGGCAGACTATTATTTATTGTATTTGTTGACGTTCACAAAAGTACAAAATTATGGTTTAATTTAAATAAATGCTTTGACTTTTGACAATGTGGCTTTATTTCGAGACACTCTTTACATATTTTCTTTACTAATTTCTGTCAATACGGCAAATATACAGAGACCATTAAACTACGTAGGAGATAGTATATTATAGAATTTACACTACTAACACCCTGGACAGCGTATCATCTCAAAAAAAATAAAGTATACCAATACTAGCATAACAATAATAAACTTACCAAGGGTAGAGGGAAACGTGCTGTGAACACGGTGAGGAACCACTGTGACGCAAACATGTGTGGCTCTACACCCAGCTCTTGGAAGTGAGCGCGCAAGTCTGTTAGTTGCTCCTAGAATTTAAATAAATAAATAAATTATAAATAAAATTCTTTATTACCAGCCCAAAGCATATTATGTTAATCTAATATACAATGACAACCGCACTAGACACAGCCTGTGAAATAATTATTAACTAGCTTCTGCCCGCGACTTCGTACGCATAATCCCTTTTTTTCCCGTCCCCGTTCGTGATTTTCGGTAAAAAGTAAAAAAAAAAAAAGTTGTTTAAAAAGTATCCTATGTCGGTCTCCTGGCTCTAAGCTAGCTCCCTATCAATTTTCAGCCAAATCTATTCTGCCGTTCTTGAGTTATAAGTGGTGTAACTAACACGACTTTCTTTTATATATATAAGATGTAACACATAACACAGGGCTGACCACAGAGTTTGCTGTTAAAGTATTGATGCGGTATGAGGGCTGAATACGTTTATGTTATGTAACATATAACATAATATTAGGTGTGGATTTTGCCTTTCTGCCCCCGAAGGTGGTGGTGGAAAGGTTTTGGTAGGCAGAGGTGTACATGACGGCAATTAACGCCACTGTACAATGTAACACCCACTTTTCACGTTATGTTATGACTCCCATGTAATAAGGGGTGAGCCTATTGCCATATACCGGGCACAATTCCAGACTCAATGCTAGTAACTACTGAGAATTATAAAAAACCCAGTAGTATAGAAACCCTGCAATCAAATCCGAGACCCCTTGCCCGGTAGTCGCCCAGTCAACGAGGCAATCAACTTGGGCAACGAGATTATAATTAATTGCTTAAGATTAAGGTATAGGTATTTTTTTTAAGGCGGAAAAATTATCGAATGACTGCTCCCGCCTAGGTGAGGCGGGAGGGAGTGTTAGACTCTTACTGACTAAAAACCACCCCGTTCCTACTACAGCACTTCGAGCCGGAGCCCCGGTAACCCGTTAGGTTCTCCGCGGCTCCGTATAAGGTACTAGGTATAGGTAGTTTTTAAGGAAATACAGACTTTGTAACTTACTTTTAAGTTATAAGAATGCTATTGTAAATAAAAATTAAAGAATATCATTATGTTATTAATAGTTAGCAAGAAATTTACCTCCATTAACCTGTCGAGTTGATGTAGCCTCATGTAGAGAGCTTCGAACCCGTCCTTGTATAGTTCACGCAGACCATAACCATACATGAGTCGAACTAGTAGACAGAACGCTTGCTCTTCTGGCATCTAAAAAAACAAGACATTTCATTAATATTTTCAGCACACAGTAATAATTCGTAGAAAAATTGGTCTTTTTAGTGACAACAACCACAATATCTTTTCATATTTCTTTCTATAAGTATTTAGTAATCTAAATAATTTATTTATTCTCTTCAAAGCTTTGAGACCCGACCTGAATGTTACATTTTCAACCAATTAGACATCTTTCGCCTGTCGTCTGGTGGTAAGCGATGATACGGCCTAGCAATCTTTTATTAAGTCTCACGTATTTCGATGTTTGTAATCCAATCTTGTTTTATTTATCAAACAGCATAAGTAATAATATTTTTACAGCAATAATATAAATACTCACATGTAAAAGCAAGGTAGCAGCCAAGAAGCTGAGTCCCTGGCAGTATCCGACCTCGTGGTCGTACACGGCGTATGCGCGCGCCATCCGTAGCAGAGAGTCCTGTCCCAGTCCGCCTGCCTCGCGGAAGAAGTCGTGTGCGGGGAACGTACGCGCTATATCGCGTTGGATCACCGCTTCGAATGGACAGTCCTGGGAAGATGAGAGATATGTTTAGCCAATGTTTTATATGTGCGTTTTCATAAATAAATAACGCGTTTAGGTTTTGCCCTCGATATGGATTGTATTCTGTACCACAGAAGGGTTATAGTCTATGGGCGAGATAGGTAGATAATAAATATTGAGCACCACCTTGTTACACGTATTAACATAACTACTTTAGTAAGGTATGGCCCCCTTACTATATTGTCCTATATAAGATCAACATATGTCACGGAGCGCGCTGTCTATCTGTCATAGCTTGGTGTGCATACACGACAAGTACTCTGTACGTAATGTAATTAAAATAAAGTCAAGTAAAACCAATCTGAGTCTAAATCATTAATCTACTATGTTATATTAGTCTCACAATATTTTCTTTCACTGTATGTATTGATGCCTTATTTCTAATAATGGAGCTAACTTCCTTACGCTACTTAGGGATATCTAAAATCACCATTCAAATATTACTAATGTTATTATTAATATGATTGATGTTTACTCACTTTGCTAATAAGCGTCCTATAAGTCTCCATGAGCTTGTCGTTCTGGTCAACTCCAGCCAGTCGCAGCCACGCTTCACCGCGAAGAGCTTCCGGCACTCCAACGCGTACCAAGTGGTTCAATGCACGTGGACGAGGGCCTGTCCAGCTGTGGAACAATTTAAGATATTGTATTAAAACTATCTTAAGACATTTTAAAATATTTATACATCCCGGCGTAGTTTGAAACACTAGTTCAAGAACATAGTACAAAATTTCCTCAACAAGCAATTATGTGATTAACACCCGAATACTGAAAAGCTACTTAATTTAAATTGTACTCATATCGTGCCATCTCTGTCATTTTACCAGGAATTTGTAGAGACAGAATTGTACTTAGGCGCGATTCAAAATTGAGTGGCGTTTTAGTATTTCGACATAAGCCGTTCAACTAATATTAGTTCAAATTAAACAATAAGTGAAAAAGTATTTATAGTAGTTACCTCCTCAGTACTTGAGCCCAATTGACGAGTACATCCTCGCCGCAGTCTTTTGATACTTCCCCAGTCCCACTGAGAAGTGGTTCATCGCCATCTGAAAAAATCAAACACATTACTTTTAATATAGTTCATTATTCTGTAAGAACAAAACATAACTATTTTTAATATCAAGTATAATAAGTATATCGACCGAAATCAATCGATATTTATTTTTGTAAATAGGTAGACGGCGCTACAGCATTTTTACATACACGTATAAGTTCTGTATCACAGGTTGTTTTAGATCACGGTATCAGAAAATTTCATAGTTCTTACCAGAATCAGGCTCAGACGGCGAGGGTGGTGCGGGTGCACTGGACAGCGGTGATGGCAACAGACTTGATAGTGAGAGTGGTAAGTTCAAGCGAGATCTGTCTAACTCATCCGAAGTCTCGATGCTGGCCACCTCGTATTGAAGTTGACCCAGCGCGTCTACTGACTGGAAAGATATACAATTTGATTATTTTATGAAAATATTCTACATAATAATTAATAATATATTAATATAAGGCAAAAGGTTTTATTGTTTGTATACAAAAATGTCTTTTCACAGTCTTTTTCTGGAGATTAGCATATGTATTGATGGTTAATATGCCAAAAGCAAGCTTACCTCTTTCAGATTAATGTAAAACTGTTGAACAAGTGGCCGTTTCGAGTAGTACCAGAATCGCTCAGTAGGCGGGAATATCTTTACTGGAGTCTCAATTACCAATCTGAAAATAAAATGAGAAATAAATTGTAACAAGCTTAGTTAAACCATGAGACAAAAAATTGTAACTAATCTTTTTAAAACGACAATACTATGTTTACTCTACATTTAACCCTTTGAGTACCGTCATTATAGACACAATTAAAGAACAATAGGTTGCGGTCACCGGTGTCCTCGCGGTATTCGACAGTTTAAATAATGTATGTAATACTGTATTTACTAAATCAAACTAACAATAAATTAATCGAATAACTAAAGCTAACAATTATGCTACGAAACCTACCTCAAAGGATCAGGTATCCCTCTGATGACCAGATCCAATGCGAGTGACATGTACGCGGGCGCGCCGTCCCCGCTGGCTACGTTGAAGGCGGCCAGAGCTGATTCGCCAGCGTTCCACAGTGCGCACACTGAACAACCAGACCCGCCTGATGAACCACTCACCTGGAAATTGAATTGAGAATGAGACAGATAGCAAGGGAATAAATTATTACTGGCATTTTCGGATTGGAAAAGTATCTTCTGCATTTCATAGCCCAATTTTTTTTAAAGATTTGTTTTTATATATTATATACTATACTAAACTTGTTTTTCTTTTTTATTTTTATGTTTGCAGACTTAGAGGCCTCACGACACAGGGAATCCTAGTGTGGTGTCCAGGGCCATACAAAAATGTAATGTGAAGCTTTTTAGCGATAAACATTTTCATTAATTTAAACCCTAAATAATTCTTCTTTTTTAATTACAAACCTTAAACCTCTATTTCTTAATAATAAGGTAAATATTTTGTGGATATGTGACACTTACCATTTCAAGAAGCCTCATGTCTGAATGCTTCACGCTCCTACCGGGAGCGAGGAGGATGCCGAAGCAGCGTTCGATGTATAAACCACCGGTGTAAGTTGACTGCAAAAAACATGTAATTTTATAAAGTTTCGCTTTATTGTTAGGTGGCACATGATATACGGAGCAGGTCTCTTCAGAGGACCCGGTGCCCCTTACAGGTGCTGAGTTTGGCCACCGGGGTGGTTTTAGTGAGGTAAGAATCCCATACTCCCTAGTCTTTCTCCCCAAAAAGGCGCCTCTTGAAGGTTTCCCCCCGACATCAAAAAAAAAAAAGGTGACACATGATAATTATCCAAAATTTTGATATTTTTAATACAATAGTGGAAGTGGGCGACAGATCATCTGATAAGGTCAACTAGGCCAGATCAGATAAGTAAATCCCTTATCCCAGCGCTGGCCATGCACACTCGCACAACTAAAGAAGTTACTAGATTTGAAAAATGAGTAAGTACACATCACCACAAAAACCAACTCCATCCTTCATTTCTGTCTCAACACGCCGACCATGTCACGTTGGCACTCATTTTCCCTTGGGGGTTTGAACGTCATTTCAACAGTTAGGTACCATACGCTCTTAATACGTAAACTAAACAAAAAGCAGCATTGCACATTCTTAAAAGTTGGCGAACAATGCTAACCTGTGGGTCATCAGACTCTGGCTGTATGTTGTTAGTGACCTGTTTCACATTTATAGTCACTTGCTTGTCTATTCCACCGCGCAGCTTGAAGCCGAGACGCTCCTTCGGCACATGGCTGAATGTACCCTGGAAAAAGGAACCATATTTTGAGAATATATGTTATAATGGTGACCATTGAACATTATAAAGACATATTTATTGATTAACTTCTGTAACTCCATTAAATTCGTGTATCTAATATACAACAAATGCGGTCAGATGCACTGAGATTTAAAAACAATATTATAAAAAAATATATCAAATGTTACCTTCGCATCAGTCTCTTTGATATCAACAGTACATTCAAGTACGTGCATAAGTTGCATCGGTGGTACTGCGGGTCCAGTGCCTTCAGTGAGGGAGCCAGTCATAGAGGGCGCAGCGCTCAGATCACCCACCAGGGATGACGCCATTGACCGGGGGATACGCTCAAACGCTTTGGCGAAACAGCCTGAGAAAGAGAAAGAATAATTTTATTATTCTCTAATGATTTTTCCGTCATTGTTATTATTTTTTGCTGCTGGCAGGATTTTTAACCTTAAATAAGTTAACTTGTTTATACTCCTAATAAATAAGACACATTTTGTGTTATGTAAGTACAAATGTTTCCAATTTTTGATTTTTTTTTAAATTCCAACAATTTTTTCCAAAATTGAATTGATATTATTTTAAATTAATCCATTAATTAATAAGAAGATGTTGAAAATACGCCCCTAAAAACATAGTGTAGTCACATAAGTAGGTGGACATCTAACTTCTTCAGGTAACAGTTACAACAGTGGAATTTTATTGTATGTATGAACTAATTTAATGAAGACATTCAATTCCTAAGAATGAAGACATTCACCAACACAAACAGACGAATTGAACGTCACAAAATTTTGTCTCATTAAAATAAATTGATAAGTGTTTCTAATAGACGTTTGTTAACGTTAAAACCTCTTCAATGTATCAGGTCGCATCATTTGACCTCGGTTGCGTAAACAATAACAATGTTATCGCAAACTCTGCTTGACCGTTAGGGAAATATATTACACAACCCGACGGTTGCAGTACGACCCATAATCTGGCTTTGGTCAGAGGTCAGGACTCAGGACACTGATAGATGCATAAAGAATAAATATTTTAATTTTTAACCTATTTATAATTATTTCAATTTTTATACGGAAAATTGTATTTCTTTACAAATATTGCATTTAGTGTATCAAAATGCAACCAGGTGTGTAAATATGAATATTATTTTACCGAATTTAATATAAAACACGATATACGACGTATCAATACTTATAATATAACGAACTGTTACACAAAATTTCATAGCACACAGTAATAACTGTAATAAATAACCTAATGATTGAGCTCACTCATCGCCTGGCAGGAAATTCATAGGTGTAATAACTTGCTAAATAGATCGCTAATATTGTTACTCAAGTTTTATTACTATGCAGACGCCGTATTACTCGCGCTCTATGAGCTCATAATGTTAGCCCCAAATACAAACTTATAATTTTGTCCCTATTATAATTAAACTTGTAATGTTACTATAACTTTAGCCAGCGGTTTCCCCTATGCTACCAGAGTAAAAAATCTATGTATTACTCCACACTAAAATCTACAGCTGTGTCAAATACCATGTAGATCTGCTCAATAGATCTTGTGATAGAGTAACAAAAATTTTCATTAATATTTATAGTAGGGAGTACAATGACACAAAAAGAAAGAAAAAGTGAATCATGCGTCACACTTTTGTCCTTCTATGGAAAATATATAACACAACAGAGTTTTAATAAACAGTCTTCATAACATAATCATCTGTTGACCTAAAATAGTTGATAAAAATAACATTGACTAATCTGTCCTTGTGCAGAAGGGCAACCCATACAACAAGCGATGATTATTACCATGCATTAGTATTTAGTAAATATTATCGACGCGTATCTAGTCAGTGGGCGGAAACCAGATAGAGGCTAGACTAGAGCTAACTAAAGTTTTAGTAAACCAATGTACTTATCAAGGTTAATTAATTAGGTAGGTAATTAGTAAAATCAATTTTTGTACCATAATCTATAAAACCTCCATAGAAACCAAGGTATTAGATATTAAGCTGTATTAAATATTATGTATCGTAGCTAACAAATTAATTTCTACCTGAATTTATTCAAACAATAACACGAAGAGATGCATACACAATTCACAACACAAACAAACATTCACTATAAAATGTACTCACAAAAACCACAATAACAACAATCCTTATCAAGTAAATCTCAACCAAATTGGTCCCACAATAAAGTATATTTTAGTTTACAATAAAAAATAATTGAATACAAGCGCTGTCCACTGAAACAGGAGAGTAAATGAACAACAGAAACCCGCGAACGAACCAATCGAGTTGATAACGAACAAATCAGACGGCAATATTCTGAGTCATAACCTGCGATGTAAGCACGACATTGTCAAACAATTTAGTGCATCGATTTCTGTACTATACATTTTTTAACCTGTATTATGAATATTTCGGGCTATTTCATGTTTCTCTGAATATCTACAAGCTGGATAGAAAAATAAGGAATAAGAATAAGTTGGGTTTTCATGGTTTTATTTATGAAAAGTAAAGGTATTTATGTAAGTAAACAACGATTCCGGCTAAAACCAACCCTTTCATTTCGTATTTCGTCAGTTACGGTGGCTTCCTACACGACGATTCATTAGACTGTCAAGTCTCGACTGAATCGTCGACACCGAGTGAACTAATAACAAAAATATAAGTGAAGGCCCTAGCCTCGCGTTCGGTGGCGCGTCAACCGGGTCATCGGGCAGCCTTGAGGGGACAGACGTTCAAGTCCACCGACTTTAGTGACGTCACACGATCGATATTACGGAAATATAGGTAAAATTTTGATAGAACTCCAATCTGGGGATGATTTATGTTTTAGTGAGTAGTGATGTCTATTAAATTTAAATCATTGAAAGTGTAGGTTACAAGTTGAGGTTATTCTAAATCAGTCTTGGTAATGTTTTCTTTCTTCTTTTCTATTATTTGTTTTTTATTATGTTGTAAGTGAAAAAGAAGCCCTTCTCAAAACAAGGGTTTTTTTTAAGGAACAGGATCGTAAAATTGTAAGTGAAATTCTTTCTATGAGAGAAGGTTAATTAGACACAGAATATTACGTAGGAAAAAAACACTAATTTTGTATCAGAATAAGCCACCAGTAACCTATACGTAAGCTCTTATCTGGATACAATAGTACCGATGACTGAACGGACATTTGAGTCAACAGATATATTTTAGTATTAATACAAAATATTCGATGTTTTCCAAGGAGAGACCTGTCATTCACAAATTCTAGTGAATAACATTACTTTCTGCGTTATCAGTACGAGATAAAATTCTTTTTTATAAATATCTTCTATGATGCATTGTTTTTACAAGATCAAGTGGATAGGTAAAGGCTTTCGTTCTCTTGTACATTTGGGTAAACCTGAACTATTCAAACTGTCTCCAAACGCGAGAAAATTTTACCAAAACCTCTTTTGTCCGGAAACCTCGGTGCGGAGGCCGATGGTCCAAGGCTGTGTATTGTACAGACTGCTGATGGTAAGAACTCATTTTTTAATTAAGTCTAAGTGTGGGAGAGCCATGCTTCGGCATGAATGGGCCGGCTCGACCGGAGTGATACCACGGCCTCACAGAAAACAGACGTGAAACAACACTTACGTTGTGTTTCGTCGTGTGAGTGAGGTTACCGGACGCCCAATTACCCCCTTCCCCAGTCTCCCCAATCCCCGAATCCCCCACAATCCTCAAATTCCTAATTCCCAAAAGCCCGGTAACGCACTTGTAACGCCTCTGGTGTTTCGGGTGTCCATGGGCGACGCCGATTGCTTAACATCAGGTGATCCGCCTGCCCGTTTACCGGCTTATCTCATAAAAAAAAGTTAAAATCAAGAGATTGCATTAGGGTATGTATTTAAAAACATGCAGTCATATGTTTTGTACGTTATTACATACTTATCAATAGTAAACATTTAAACAATGTCAGTAGGTATTTAGGACAGAAATGCCTGCATTACCAGTTAAGTAAATTATTTATTTAATCTTATTTGATACTAGTATGTTAGTTTGTATTTTTTTAATGCCCTAATGTCAGGAATTTCAAAAATCCTATTTGTGTTGCATAGTCAATTTATCGAGGAAGGTATAGGCGTACGATTAAAAGGAGCCGAGCAGAGCGGGTGAAACTGCGCGAGCAGTAGCTTGTAAACAATAAATAACATATTTTATGCGTTCTATTAAATTGTGAGTTATAAACGCATAACATTTTCCTCAAAAGACCATAAATAGTTTAATTAGAATAAATAATCAATCATTAATAACGAAGATATACCAAGTAAAAAATAAAAACAAATGTTAAAGGAATACGAATAAAATATACACAAATGAATTGGGACGCTAAAAAAACGTGACGTCACAATACACAATTTCGTAAAAAAATCATAAAAAACTGTAGTTTTTGACAGTTCGAATAAAGCATTGAATTTGACTAGTTGGCAAGTACCCAACTTTATGCACAATATCACTAATACAAACAACGGATTTCTTCTTCAACTTTTTTGGTCAATACCACAAATACAGTCAAAAAGTCTTTTCTACAACACAATTTCAACTTTTTTAAAATCTTTAGGAGCTAGGTAGGAGAGCCTAGTGTCCTAGAGGAGGTTTCTTCTTATCTTCTAGTAGTAGTGAAACTCCGATGAGAGGTGTTGACAAGAATGATTTTATTTCGCCCAACTACGCTACTTATATTTCTATTTACATATTTACAACTAGACAAGATCAGAAATAGTTAGGTGATAGTTTCGACCAATAGCGGCGCGCCGGCGTGCGCGGGGCGCGCGGGGTGCGGGGCGCCGCTTTGCACACGGCACTATCGGTTCCTTCCGTATAAGTATGACCGCGCGGCGCGAGCGCGCGCATTTCTCCGAGAGCCGGCGTTGAGTGAAGACTGAAGACTACCTACAGATGAATGAAGAATGAAGATGAATGCAAGTACTCCGGCCTCCGGCTCCGGCTCCGCTTGCGCTGCTTGCTTTACCAAACCGCTTCTTTCGAAGCGATCGCTCGCGGCACGGTGTGATAACGCTGTTGCCGCAGTGATGATTATCGTTTCTATGCAAGAAAGTCGAAAACTGTCTTTTTCAAGACAATTGGTTTCTTGTTTCTTTAAACGAAGTGAGTCTATAACTTTGGTAAAGGTATTGTGGAAGGTATCTGGTATATGGAAAGGTATTCGGTGGTACTGGTAACTGGTAGGTATGTAGTCGTGCGGTGCGGCTACAGTACTCCCCCCCGAGCGAAGCGTACTGGGGTCTTGACGATTCTTCCTGTTCGCGTTTTTCGTACATCGCTGATGCTCGACGGAGGTTGACTGGGTTGATCCTGGATAGCCT